GCATTTCTCCTACTTACACTTTGGTCACACCTCACAGACAACGCACACTGCATAATATATATACATACATTCTAGGTTTTTTTTCCTTTTTTTTCTTAAATAGTTCTTGTGTTCCTCTTTATTTCTTCTTTGTCCATGGGGAAGGGAATAAAAGAATCTTTCTCCGTTAATGTATAATAAAAGCCATTTGCGTGTGTTTGTTGTTGTTGAGGCCGACTAAATTGCGGGAGAAATGGGGCTGGTAACCCCCTTTCTCCTGTTAGACATTTTACTTAAAAAGTAGGAATGAAGAAGAGAAAAACTTTTTTATAAAAAACTGGGATGCTTAAATGTGCGTGGGGTGGATGTAGTGGGCGGTGGTACAAAGAAACAGTTGTTTGCTGATGTTATGAATCATGGGAAAAGACAGTGTTGTCCTGTCCTAAGCAGATTCAAAAGCTGAAGGGGGGTGGGTATGGCTAGGGGAGAACCGTTTCGCTGTGGGTGGGGGGAATGAGTTTAGGGAGAGTAGTTTTAGGGGGAGAGAGTGTAGTAAGTTCAGAGTAGTTTGAGAGTTTCGAGAAGTTTCGTGGGGGGGAGTAGTTTCTAGTTTCGGGGAGTTTCCGGTGGGTAGTAGTTAGTTTGGAAGTTTCGGTGGGGCGGGGGGGAATTAAATAAAATGGGATTAAATCTTGGAGTATCTGAGAGGGAGAGTTAAGAGAGTTAGAGTTAGAGCAAAGGTAAAGGAGGATAGCAGTAATGTGTAAAGATCAGTTTATGGAAGGAGGGATAAGTGCATATGTAAATTCATGAATTTTGTGGATTAATGTAAAGGTTGGAATGCGAGGAAGTGGGAGAAGTGGGGTCCGGTCATAATTTAAGGCGTGTATGCACCTGGAAGAGAAGAGAGGAGAAGAGGAGGAATGCAGAGAGAGATGGAGAGAGATTTTGGGAGATGAGATGTTAAGTGAATGTATAGGTGCCTTTGAACCAACGTGAAGAGTGTAATTGTTGGTAGGGGACCTGAATGCTAATGTAGTTGAGAAGAAACTTTTAGAGGAGGGTGTGTCGGTTGTGTGGTAGGTAAGTTTGGGGGTGGCAGGTTGTAAATGATAATGGGAGCCCTTTGATGAACTTTGTTTAGAAAGGGGTTTTGTTTTAGGTATACATATTTTAAGAAAAAGAGGATAAAATAAAGTTATAACAAGCTATGATGTAGGCGAAAAGACAGTAGTTTGTTGGATTTTGTATTGGTGATAAAAGACTGTTGAGTAGGACTTCAGGGATGTATGTACCATGTTTTATGAGGGGCCATCAGAATATATCAGATCACTTTCTAGTGGTAGCTAAACTAGAGAGTAAAAGGTATGTAGATGGGATAAAAGGAGATTGATGCATCAGGGAAGAGAGGGTGAAGGTTTATAACTAAAAGAGGAGGGCCAGTTCAGTTGGGTAAGATATAAACAAACAGCTATTGGAGGATAGTGGGCTAATGAGAGCATAGGCAATGGGGATCGAAGAGGTTATGGGTAGGTTTTAAAATAATGTCAGTGTTAGAAGTGTTTCCGCAGAAGTTGCAAGAAGTTTGTGGTTACTGGAAAGGGTTAAGGTGCGGGGGGAGGGGAAGTAAGAGGAGCGAGTGGTGGAATGATGAGTGAAGAGAGAGTAGTAAGCGAGAATGGAGAAAAAGTAGCATATTAGAAGTTTTTACCAAAGTAGAAGTGATGCTCAAGGAGGGAAGGTATATGGAGAATAAGAGAGAGGTTAAGAGAGTGGTGAAGCAATGTAAAAAGAGAGCAAAATGAGAGAGTGGGTGAGATTGTTATCAACAAATTTTGTTTTGGTGAAAATAAGAAAAAGTTTTGGAGAGTTGTGATTAACAAGTTTAGAAAGACTAGAGAACAAAATGGATTTGTCTTTTAAAAAAATAGGAGATTGAGGAGAGCTTATTAAATGGAGAGTTAGAGGTATTGGGAAGATGGAGGGAATATTTGGAGGAATTGTAAAATGTTGATGAAGATAGGGAAGCTGTGATTTCGTGTATGGGCAAAGGAGGAACATACATCTTGTAGGAGGAAGAGCCAGTTGTGGAGTGGGGGGTGAGTTCGTGAGGCAGTAGAGTAGGAAGAGTAGGTTAAAATGAAAAGGGGGTAGGCAGCCGGGGGATTGATGGGATAGATAGAAATGTTAAAAAGCAAGGTGGGGATGATAGTTTTTGGAGTGGGTTGGTTGGTTTGCAATTATTTAATAAATGTATGGAAGGGTTTAAGGTACCTAGGGATTGGCAGACAGAAGAGAGAGCCATGCATAGTTCCTTTGGATAAGGCAAAAGGATTAAAAGAGGGAGTGCTAAAAAATTATTAGGGGGTAAGTTCTGTTGAGTATACCTGGCAAAAGTGTATTGGTAGAGTTTTATTGAGAATTAAGTGTAAGACGGAGAATAGGATAGCAGTTGAAGGAGACTTTAGGAAAGGTAGGGGGTGTGGGGTCCAGGTGTTTGCATGAAACATTAAAAGGTGAACAGTATTTAGATAAGGCTAAAGAGTCTTTGTGGCATTTTATGGATTTTGGGAAAAGGCCGTATGACAGGATGGTTAGGGGTGGCAATGGCGGGCGGCAATGTGGCAGTGTGTTGCAGGTGTATGGTGTAGGAGGTAGGTACTGAAAGCAGTGAAGAGTTTTTTACGAGGATTGTGAGGCTCAAGTTTGAGTATGTAGGATTTGAGGGAGAATTATTTCCCAGTAAAAGTAGGCTTAGACAAGGATGTGTGATGTCACCGTGGTTGTTTAATACTATTTATAGATGGGAGGTTGTAAAAGAAGAAGTAAATGCGAGGGTCTGGCAAGAGGCGTTGGAGTTTAAAAGATAAAGATACACACATTAAAGTGGGAGTTGTCACAGTTGCTCCTTTGCTGTTTGACACTGTGCTTATTGGGAGATTCTGAAGAGAAAGTTCGCAGAGAGATTTGTGTGGATGAATTTGATTTGGTAGGGTGGCTGCAAAAAGAAGGGGAAAAAGTGAAAAGTGAATACAGGAAAGAGTAAGGTTATGAGGGATAAACAAAAAGATTTGGTGATGAAAAGATTGGATATTAGATTTGGAGGTGAGAGAGTATGGAGGGGTGAATGTATTCAGAACTAGGATATTTGGGAGTGGACGTTGTCAGTGGATGGGTTATATCGAAAGGAAGAGGTGAATCATAGAAAGTGATGAGGGGAAAAAGGGATGTGTGGTTATTTTGCACTTAGGTTCTTGTGGAGACAAAGAATCTTTGTCCCTGGGGAGGCCAAAGAGGGAATGTATGAGAGTATAGTTATAGTTTTACCAACGCTCTTATATGGGTGTGGACATGGTGTGATGAATGTTGAGCGAGGGGAAGGCTTGGAGGCGTGGAGATGTCATGTCTGAGAGCAATGTGTGGTGTGAATATAATGCAGAGAATATTCGTTAGTTTGGAAGTTTGGAGGAGCGTGCGGGATTACAAAAACTGTTGTCCAGAGGGGTTGGAGGAATAAGGGTTTGTTGAGGTGGTTCGGACATGTGGAGAGATGGAGCGATCAGAATAACTTCAAAGGTCAAGAGTGTATCAGGTCTGTAGGGGAAGGCAGGGTAGGGGTTCGGCCTAGGAAAGGTTGGAGGGAGGGGGTAAAGGTGGTTTTGTGTTTGCGAGGGGGCCTTGGACTTCAGCAGGCATGCGTGAGCGTGTTTTGATAGGAGGTGAATGGAGACAAATGGTTTTTAATACTTGACGTGCTGTTGGAGTGTGAGCAAAGTAACATTTATGAAGGGGTTCAGGGAAACCGGCAGGCCAGACTTGAGTCCTGGAGATGGGGAAGTACAGTGCTGTGCCACTCTGAAGGAGGGGTGTTTTAATGTTGCTGTTAAAAAACTGTTGTGCAAAAGCTCCCTTCTGGCACCAAGACACGTGATGGAGTGAATGATGGTGAAAGTTTTTCTTTTTCGGGCCACCCTGCCTTGGTGGGAATCGGCCATTTAGTAATTTATACAAGAGAAGGGGTTACTAGCCCCTTGCCCCCGGCATATTAGTTGCCTTTTACAACACACATGGCTTACGAAGGATGAATTCTGTTCCACTTCCCCATGGAGATAAGAGGAAATAAACAAGAACAAGAACTAGAAAGAAAATAGCAGAAAACCCAGAGGGGTGTGTATATATATGCTTATACATGTATGTGTAGTGTGGCCTAAGTGTAAGTAGAAGCATCAAGACGTACCTGAAATCTTGCATGTTTATGAGACAGAAAAAAGAACACCAGCAATCCTACCATCATGTAAAACAATTACAGGCTTTCGTTTTACACTCACTTGGCAAGACGGTAGTACCTCCCTGGGCGGTTGCTGTCTACCAACCTACTACCTAGGATATATATATATATATATATATATATATATATATATATATATATATATATATTATATATATATATATATATATACACTATGAAACTAATGAAGCTTAAGCCATATCAGTTCAAGTTTCAGGACCCCAAAAATGTTGGTACGCCACTGCATATAAATGCCCCTAACAATTCGCGAAGAAGCAACATTTACAAACATTATCTTAGACCAGAGAAGGACTCGAACTTCCGTATTCTCTGTGAAAGAACACAGAGCTATACCATGTATTAAGCTAGTTATATGTGGCCATGACACTGTACCTGCACCGTAAAATATATGGTTAGATACAAGTATAAAAAACTTGCAACAAATATATTACACAACTGAGAATTATTAATTATAAAGATATAATAAGTGTACTAGGTGGCTCGTTACTCTATGGTATCACCTTTGGCTCACAACTGAATTACCCGAAGACGACGAGCACGTTTATTGTACTACCCTTTGTCACCTATGCTAGTGGAAAAAGGTACCTGTTAACTGTCGTGTGTGGATAGGGTTGGATTTTAAATTTAGATAGGGTAGGACAAGTTCTTAGCCTGTAATTTTAAATAGTTAAATTACCACATAGACATACATAAGAAAAAGTGAATCACTAACCTGTCGGCCGCCCACCCGCTGATAGGGCCACCAATGACGGCTCCCAGGAAGAATACTGACTGGGCCAGCGTGGCGTACCACTTCTTGTCACATACCCACGACAGCTGCCGGTGTAAACGATTTTTTTAATGTTTTTCTATTTTTATTTTGAACCTGTTAAAGCCACATAAACTGATTTATTTCTATTGGAATCTCTCATTAGGATGCTACTTATAATAGTCGATTAAGACCCAGTTTACTGCTAGGTGAACAGGGACAGCAGGTTTAATGATCTTTGCCTTATTATTATTATTATTATTATTATTATTATTATTATTATTATTATTATTATTATTATTATTGAGAGAATGAGCTTTGCCATGTCTTATCCGGCCCAAATATCAAACCTAAGTTCTTTCGGTTGTGAGCCGAACGTTCGGTCTCAGTAGCAGCTGTGGTAGAGCGTTCGATTTTCAAGCGGATCGAGACGCATGAGGAAGTCTTCTTACTCCTGCTAACCTAAGTAGTAAATAGGCACCTGTGCATTGTCGTATGTAGTGGGGTGCACCTTGGGAGTGGTTATATACCTTACAGTGAGCTAGTTTTAAAATAAGCTAAAGAAGAATAACAACTCATAGCTTGTAAATTTTAGTGTAAAGAAATGTAATGGTAGGAGTGCGAATCTGTTGCTTGGTACTTGCAGATGCACACACTGCTAGCAGACCACTGCCGTGGTCTGCTAGCAGTGTGTGTATCTGCTTGAGTGTGCATCTGCATGTGCTAGGCCTACTAACCTCTTTCAGTGACCTGAGTTTCATTGTACGCGGCTGGAGTTCTACACAAACTCGCTCCCATACCCTTTACAACTTATTTTCACACTGCTGCAACTCGCTACCCTTCTACAACTCAAACTCGCCTGCAACTTACTTTCACCCTTCTTAATCTCGTATTCGTCTAACCCATTTGTATTATTTTAATTCATAAAAGTTGTCCACACTTCTCTAGCACACAAGCACCGGCATTCTCTCTTCATGTTCTCTTCTTCACAATGGATGATGCTTCTTACGTGAGATATGCCACGATAAGGTACTAGGGTTATTGGGGCCGTGGAGCAGGCCGTCATAAGATTAATGTTGCTGTCTTACATATGATTTAAGCGAGTTTAGCGCTTAGCTTTGATGATGATGATGATGATAATAATAATAATAATAATAATAATAATAATAATAATAATAATAATAACAATATATGATTTAAACAAAGTGATCTTAGCTTTGATAATAATAATAATAATAATATATGATTTAAAGTGATCTGTATACCTTAAGTTTAATTACATTGTCATCTATAATAGAAATGTAACTATTACATATCCTACCGCCAATAAATACGTTAATACACCGACTCAAAATATCACTTTTTTATTAGTGTCACGCTCACGTATTTGACGTTCTTAGTCAAAGTGATATGCTGACGTTGATTATGAGAATGGCTGCCTGAATAGCTTTCCCGGTGGCGGCGGCAACATAAACGTTATATAGTGGTACAACCAATCCCCGCTTTATGAGTGATACTCGTGCTTTTTTGAACGTTTCTGGATAAGCTCGGCCATTTTATTGCCAGAGGAATTCCTGCTTGTTTTTAATTTGCTTATCTAGGGATAAACATGTTTTTATAGGCTTATGCACTCAAACTCAATATAATATAAATATAAGGAATAGTTTCTATAAGTTTACGGGAGAATAAGTTGAGCATAAATGTTTTCTGTAATAGTTTACGGGAGGATTCTTACTTAGTAAGAAAATTAACGTAGAATAAGTTGAGCATAAATGTTTTCTGTAATAAAGCTATCAGCAATCTGAGCATTACTAACTGAACTCTGGCAAGAATATATAAACAGGATAAGCACATATATGTAAAATTTACACTGGCTAATACAGTACTTATACCGCATAACAAGCATAAGACTGGCTAATACAGTATTTATTTATACCGTATATATACAGCCTTGTCTCTTACTTTCACATTCTCATGAACCTTAACCTAACTGAAGCTTTTTCTTTTTAGACAATGTAGACTTGCTGAGATACGCCATTCTTTGTATACTTTCGCTACATGTAAATAAAGTTTACAGTGATTGCAAAATTTTACTACAATAGTCACATACAATGGTCAAATAAAAAGCAAAAGAAGAGTACCGGAGGAACTTTTACCTCTGAGACAATGGTGTGATAGTTTCCTGTGGTGGAGATATCGTACTCCCACACCCAGCAGCTCTTCACCGGCCATGAGGTGTTCGGTGACGTCACGCCATCCAGCAACAACTTCTCGTAGGGTACATCGTACGCCTGGCAGCGGCTCCGCGTGGCTGTGCCGAGTGCGTCAACAGTAATGGGGATACTTAAGTTACGTCTGTCAGGGGATAAGATCAGATAAGACATCCGTTAAATACAGAGGGAGCAGTAGTAATGAAATAAAGATGATGTAATCAATCCTTCAACTACTGGAGAACACTTAAATAGTAATAATAATAACCTTGCATCAAAATAAGTCTCCTAGCCCCCCTTCCCTAAGCCCTCCAGTACAGAAATTCTCGTGCTGCCAATGTTTTTGATTAGCCGATTTCATAATTCTCTTTCGAAACTAATCCTGAAACATAAATTAAGTTATTTTATGTTATGAACATTTTTAACAAGAATAAGTTATGTTTCAGGATTAGTTTCGAAACATTTAATCTATCAAAGAATTTTGTTAACTGTTTTCCTAGGTGGGAACCCCTCAAGGAAGGTTCCTTGATGTTGGTGAGGGGCTCTTGATTTAGGGAATTGGATCTGTGCTCCAGTTCCCCGAATTAAGCCTGAATGCCTTCCACATCCCCCCCCAGGCGCTGTATAATCCTCCGGGTTTAGCACTTCCCCCTTGATTATAATAATAATAATCCTAGGTGGGAAGAAAGAGAAAATGTTCAAGTTTCAAGACTAGCTTTGTTTAGGTTAACTGCAGGTATTTTTTTTTAAAGAATGCATTAAGCATATAATTACGATAAGCATACAGTGATTATAAATTATGAATATTTAATCTAGGGTAACTCAACAAATCAAAATGTTACCAATTAGGAATTTCACTTTTTGTAAAAATGTTTTATGGCCTTTTCTTATAGCTGGATCATAGACCTGAGAGCAGCTCTCACAAAACTTTCTTATAGTGCCACAAACCTGTTCAGGTCCATCCTGGAACACTGCATTTTCACATTACATGGAAAGCCTGTTTTCTTAAGTCAAAATATATGTTAATCAGTTAGGTGGTACCCGTTTTCAGTAGGCTGGTGAGGTGTATGAGCAGTGGAAAACTGAAAACCACTCTCGTACCACGAGTGTTGCACGTGCAGATTTGAACGATGATGTATTTAAGGCAGAAAACAGTTATCTTTAGTTTTAAGATTTGTATATCGAATTCAGGTACTTTACTAACATAATTGTGGAAAATTTTGGATTTTCCTAAATTCAGTATGTGTAAATTTGAATAATACAATAATTGTATAATAAAATGTGATGCTGATTTGACCCTTCCGAGAAATTTCGAGTGAGGGGGGGGGGGAACAGCTGCCGAGTGACACAGACGGGGACGCCATTGGTAATTTGTGGGCACTGGTTGTCGTGGAAACTTCTGCTAATTATCCGACGTCTTCTGAGCCAAATTGGGGGGTTCGGCCTGAATTTGTAATTAGGAACCAGTGTTAATGTTCCCTGCTGAAGAATTGGGACAGGAAACCTCAAGAATTACATGTGGATAGGGGAAGATACGATCATTACTCACAGGGAAGTGTGCCATTAGTCCTTGCATTTAGATCTCTAACTGGTCAGTGTAGGGTTTAGGTGTCAGGCCCGTGTGATCCATCTACAGTAATTAAATGGTAAGTGGTAATACGAATATCTTTTGTGTACCCAGCAAACCTAATCATATACAGTCCACGACTTTAATTTACCAGAGTAGCTGGTTTTAATACTGTAATTATTAATTTAATGCCAGGTCTAGCTTTTTGTGAGTGAAGAAGTGGGTATCGATGAAGTTATAGTTCAGTGACCTACCATGACTTAGGTCCCACTTATCTCACCCAAATTACTTGCATGTAATAATTCAGGTAATACCCTGTAAACCTCATACAGGCAAACAAACCATACCACGGGTGGGGATAGAACCCGCGATCACAGAGTCGTAAAACTCCAGCCCGACGCGCTAGCCACTGGGCCAGCCGGCAGGTAATTTACTCACATAATAAAAAAATAATTAAAAAATGGATTACTGGAGAATGCCTCTTTTTTGATCGGCTTCAAATTTTCAGTGCTGGCGTTTTTGCTCGGAAGGTTCGCATTGTTTGGGCTGCGCAAGTTTCAGTTTGCCAATTTTAATAAATTGAGATACTGGTTAACATGCAATAACCGGAGAATGATGCTTCTGATCAGTTTATAACTCTGAACACTAGTGTACCATACACAGAAAATGTTTGGATTGATGTTGGAATGTGTAGGTTCCAATATATTTTTATAAATTGGATTCCATTTTCCGTGAAAATACTCGATAATATCTCTTCGTATCGGCTTCAAACTTTCAATGCTAGTATGTCGTACCATTCCCTGGTATAGCAGACTAAATGATGTTTCATAAAATAAATAGTAGATTGGTTTCCATGATATAACAGGGAGACCAACCTCTTTCACCCTAAAAAAAAGTCTCTATACTTTCAGTATACCTGGAGAGGGTTTCGGGGGTCAACGCCCCCTCGGCCCGGTCTGAAACCAGGTCTCGTTGCCCTTTTTCAGAGTGATTCCTATAATAGTTTTACAGTTCGACAGGATTGAATTCTAGCTCCTGCGCCTCTTGCTAGTGTTCATCTACAGCTCCTCTGCCTTTCGCGCATGTTGCTCTACAGTTCTTGGACCTTTTGATGGTTTTAAAATGCAGGAACTACGCTTGTGTATTCGTGGGCCTCTTGAAATTGTTGATTTACAGCTCCCTGAGCACTTGGAAGGGTTGAATTAGAACTCCTAGGTGTGTTAAGGGAGTTGAACTGCAGCTTCTGTGCCTATTGAGTTTGACGTACAACTATTAGGCCTCTCGCGTTCAGTAGGCTATGGTTGTGATACAAGGGATAATCTCAAAACGCGCAGCGAGCGAAACAAATTTTGTAAATTATTTGTATTAACTGATTTCAGTGAAGGAGAAAAAAAAATATTCAAATATGCCAAACTGTACAAATAACCTGTGCTACGCAAGCTAAAAGAATTATTAACATGCAAAAGTTGCAATCAAAACTAAATTTTTTATGCAATAAATAAAAAAAGTTGTACGTCAGCGTTAAAGGCTAGAATGTGTTGCTAAGACCAGTGTTTCCGTTGGCAGTCCTTCCCCGTACTTCCCCTCAAGGAAGGTTCCTTGATGTTGGTGAGGGGCTCTTGATTTAGGGAATTGGATCTGTGCTCCAGTTCCCCGAATTAAGCCTGAATGCCTTCCACATCCCCCCCCCAGGCGCTGTATAATCCTCCGGGTTTAGCGCTTCCCCCTTGATTATAATAATAATAATAATTCCCCGTACTTGAGTGTACTCATTTAGTTGTGGCCAAAGGGAATGATCATAGCTCTTGAGCTTCGCCTTTGTTCAATTGCCTGTCGAATCCATGTATAGTAAGATTGTGATTGTGGTGTCCTGTCTCGAGTATTTAGCTTTGTGTGCGTGTGATAAACGGACAGAGAGGATCAGGGAAGTGCCAACAATGATCAAAGCGTAAACACGGGAATTCTCCTCACTTCTGCCATGTTCCGCATCCGAGACAGAATTAATATTTGTGTATTACTGTTGTCTTCAAATGTTAATCACAAATTAGGTTTAAAATCTGAGATGCTGTTTATTAGTTTAATATCTTTATTATACACCCCATACCCATCCTGTGGGCGGTAGTCAAAAGATTACAAAGGTACATAATGGGTCCAGGGACTGGACCCCAAAGTTATGATAGCTGAACTAGTTACAAAGGTAATGAACTCCAGGTAGATCTGGTCACAATCATGGCAAGTTACAAAGGTAATGAATCAGCCTCACTCCTATACATGGTTACAGTCATGAACAAATTACAAAGTAAAAGAAACGAATTTTGACATCTATCCTCTGCGCTATTTTCAAATTCATTTGTTTGGAGAGCATGCCAATGCTTAATTACTTAAAAATAGAATTATTACAGTTCTGTTGTAAGATATTTTTCTTCGCATTTTATCGAGTGGTTGCATGTAAGAATGGGTCAGTACTGGCGTAATTATAGCCCGGCTTGCATTTATTCTCTTTATTTACTAAGTCTTGCAACTTGTCTGGCATTCTCTTGTTCAGTGCAGCCTTAATTTTTTTTTCCTATTCTAACCATGCTGTTATAGCCGTGGGTGTCACGTTTCGGAATTATATTAACCAAAACAATAAAAAAAAGTTAAACCCGTATGAAAATTCACCCATGAAAATGCATCTATGTTGAAAAATCTGGGAATACCTGTTTCAGAAAAGTGAAAGGAATCAAAATATGATGATTATTTCGCATAAAGAGGCATTATGGATCCAAGTATTTAATTAACATAGGCTTACAATTTTTTTTTTTATAAATTATAAACTGACGAATAAGTAGAAACCTCTCCCACCCACTCACAACCAATGAATATGTAATCGAATATATGGACTACCTATTATCTATACTTCACCTACCCCCTTAATCACGTTAGTAGAGAGGTAGCGTGTCTCACAGTTAGCTTGTTAAGGATCGAGCCTTCAACAATCCATGCCCTAAACGACACAGAGTTTAGCTCTTCATACAAAGTACAAGTATAACATCACTCCTTTGTTCCGATCAATATGAATATTCACACTATTACCTGAGTTCGAGGCTGACGTTGGCGTGCATGAGCTCCGACACGGCACACCAGTGTTCAGGTGGGAGGGTGATGAAGAACTGCACGAAGTAGATGAACACCAAATTGAGACAGAATGGAGCCAGGCCCAGGAATAACAACCACTGGTACTTTCCAAACTCTCCGGCGTAGGTCAAAACATCGTCGAAATCTAAGTATTCTTCCGCCATTTTTGCCAAGGTTTTAGCGAAGCTTTTCCCGACTATCAGCGCTGTATAGCCCTTGTGGCTTAGCGCTTCTTTTTTATTATAATAATAATTTTCCCGACTACGATACAATAAGCTTGTGCTACTCTTAGTGAAACTAGTTATAAAAAGTTATATAATAGTGAACTTTCTATTAAAATTTTTGTATTCTACTTTTGATACGTAACTGAGGATTTTGGAAGCACTTGATTAGAGTGATGTTACTAAGGGAGAGTCAAGTCTTAAAATGATCTAAACAACTGTTCTCCTCCAGGAAGCCTACGTGTTCTCCTGGATTTTCCCACTATGACATCTGTAGCTAAATTTAAGTACGCTTGTGAACTTAACGTACTATTTTAATTATTCGTGATTACAAAAAAATCAATATGTTACGAAGCTTTCCTTTAGAGAGATTCTCTAAAATTTATCCTCAAGAAATTATTTGCAAATAAATGATTAAAATTTGACACTTACGTCAGTCACTCTCCAGTTATTTCTTATTGACACGTAAGTAAATTTACTTTCCTAATTTCCTACGATGTTGCCGAGTTTATAGGGGTTCTTCATGACTTTCATTGAGTACGGTGGCGCTTGACTGAAGTCAAGTAGTATGAGAGTGTTACTAGATCAAGTGGTACTTGACTAATATTGCGTCTAGTAGTATTTGATGACTAGCTTTGAGTCTAATGGTCCTTGATGCTAGTGCTGATTCTGGAGGTCCTTGATGCTAGTGGTGAGTCTAGTGGTACTTGACGCTAGTACTGCCTAGTGGAACTTGACACTAGTACTGTCTAGTAGTACTTGATGTTACTAGTATTGATTCTAGAGGTGCTTAATTCTAGTATTGAGTGGTGGAGCTTGTTGACACTGGTACTGAATGTACTGGTACTTGACACTAGTACTGAGTAGTAGTAGTAGTACTTGGTGACACTAATATCTAGATAAGTGGTACTTGATGACACTAGTACCGAGGGTAGTAGTAATTGTTGACACTAGTAATGAGCCTAGTGATAATTTGACTCTAGTAATGAGCTTAATGGTAATTTATGACACTAGTACTGAGTCTAGTTGTACTTGTTGACACTAAAATTAAGTCTAGTAGTAATTGGTGACACTGGTACTGAGTCTAGTGGTACTTGATGATACTAGTAAGTCTAGTGATATGTGATGACACTAATACTGAGCCTAGTAGTAGTTGTTGAAACCAGTATTGAGTCAAGTGGTGTGTGATGGCACTATCACTGAGTCAATTGGTACTTGTTGACACTATTACTGAATTTTGGGGTACTTCATGATGATAGTATTGAATCTAGTGGTTCTTGATTATACTAGTGTTGATTCTAGTTGTACTTGATACTGGCACTAAGTCTAGGAGCACTTGATGACATTAGTGCTGAGACAGGCTAGTTAGCGGCTAAATTCCCACTTGCATTCTTTAAGTATCCTTGACAGTCAGTGCCCGAGCAGCCAGGCTGTGGTTCGTACGTTGGATTGCCTGCTGCCAGCAGTAACAGCCTGGTTGACCAGGCCATGATTCATCGGGAGGCTTGGTCGGGGACCGGGCTGCGGGATGTTGACACCCAGGAACGACCTCCAGGTAGGTAGTGATACTTGATGGCACTTGCACTGAGTCTAGTGATACTTGGTGACACTAGTGCTAGATGGCGTGTACTTGTTCTGACTTAATACGCTGGCATTCAAGGGAGAATCATTGATGCCACTGAAATGGACTTTATCCGAGAAATCAGAGCTTCCTTCTTCCTTCTTCCTTCTTGCTTTAACATTATATTTTTTCTCCTATGTAATCTTGATTTATTCTTTATCTTTGTTATTGTTATGAGGTCACCCATCGTGTTTTTTAAAATTAAATTATTATTATTATTATTATTATTATTATTATTATTATTATACACTACTCGCATTATGGATGAAAGCTAAACCATAAGAGTTACGTATATAGCGCCAGAAAACATTTCACAACACTTTGAAGACAAGGAAGAGGAAACGCCTCCTCACGTCTTGCCGCTGTAATGAAGACAATCGGGAAGATAATCTTAGAAAGAATAAACGACCGTAGTGTAGAGGATGTCAGCTGTGTGACGGCATAGAGTTACAACACAGTCTTTACGTGAACAATGGAGGTGTAAAAAAAGATGACGCATTTCCGGAAGCACCCGTAGTCCCGTCACGCGACAGGAAACTATGGGTGCACTTTCAAAAGAATTCCTTTAAATCTAAGGTTGTTAGGTAAGGTTCGTTAGGAAACAGGACAAGTGTTTCCTGTCGCGGGTCTTAGTCATATGATGACCTTCCGTTGGAGCTTTTGGTCATCTGACCGAGGCCTTCCGCTGGCTTACCGGTCAACCCCTTTAAAAATTATGATCATAATTATAATAATTTTAGTAGTATTTTAAATCTAAGTCCATTGGATATTTTGGAATAAATATTAAAACACTTTTCAACTTTAATTTTTTTTCAATGTTACTTTCAATTATCAGCAACCAATAAAAGATGTGAGCGGATATTATTATTATTATTATTATTATTATTGGAAAACTAATATGGTAATACCGACTAAGTTTTTGGTAAAATACACGCATGCAGTGATTAAGATATTAAGGAAACAAAGCCCTAAAACTCCAGGCCAGTGGAGTCAGTCATATTAGGGAACGTTTCGCCACGAGTAGCTTCTCCAGTCTTTATACGAAGTAGTTAAAATAAGCAGTATATGTATATAAATATGTGTGTGTGTATGTGTGTCGTGTCGAATAGGTAAAACTTGCTATTTTGGTTTAAATAACAAAGCTCTGTTTGCTGAATAAGACAGCGAAAATTAGCGTATGCAATAATTTCACAAAAAAAATAATTCTGAACCTAACGAAAAAAAATACATTTCATTGTGTTTATTTATTATTAAAATATTGTAAACTTATCTAAAATATATTTAGTTGGATAAGGCTAAATTAAATTGCATTTGTTATAAGGTTAGGTAAGTTTTCTAAGGTTCTTTTGGTACCAAATTATTAATTTTATATTAACATAAATGAAAAAAGTATGTATAAACGTATAAGAGAAAATTTTAGAAAGGACTTAATTTTAAACGAGTTCTTGCTAAGTGACCAGTTTTACCTATTCAGCACGACATATATATAATACAAGGCGTCATGTGAATATAGGCTTGAAGTAAGATAACATATTAAAAGCGGAGTTGCTACCATCTGTCCGGGTTGGGTCGGTAGGCCTCGTTCAGTTCTTCCTTGATGTATGTCACAGACCGGGAGGGACTCAACCCCATGGCAGCCATTCTGTGATTTGTTTGTAATCGTGTTAGTATGGTTTCATGACTCTTGTTGTAACTTTGTATTATCTAATAGTGATGTCGCTATTACCCCACTTTTAACCTGTTTACTTGACGTCTTGTACCATATATACTGCTTATTCTGGCTACTCTGTATTTGGGCTGAAGAAGCCACTCGTTGAGAGACGTACTATCATGTTTATGATAACGCATTAGAACCACCTCTTGCGTTCGTCTTACCTCTCACCCTAATACTGAAAAATATAGTCCTGATATCTCATGGCTCTCTCTCGTATTTTAAATACCTGAAATAAATAACAAAAAGGCACAATACCGTGACTGGAACGATACACAAATAACCCGCACATAAAAGACAGAAGCTTACGACGACGTTTCGGTCCGACTTGGACCATTGACAAAGTCACACTAACAGAGGAGCAGAACGGCTATATATAGGCAGGAAGAGGTGGAGGTAGTAGTAGTGGTAGAAGTAGTACTACTACTTCTACCACTACTACTACCTCCACCTCTTCCTGCCTATATATAGCCGTTCTGCTCCTCCTCTGTTAGTGTGACTTTGTCAATGGTCCAAGTCGGACCGAAACGTCGTCGTAAGCTTCTGTCTTTTATGTGCGGGTTATTTGTGTATTTAAATACCTGTCCTGTAGTGTCCATTTATGTCCCAAGGCTCCCCATCGTATTGCAAACAGCCTGTCCCTGTCTACCATATCTAATCGATTCTCCAGTTAGTTTGTATCTCATAATTATATCAATCCTCTGCTAGTTTGAGTTCTTTAAGTCTTTCCTCGTAGTTCATTTCCCTCAAATCTAATGTCAGTCTTGTTGCAAACTTTAAGTCTTTTCTTTATGTATTTCATTAGTTGTTGGTTACATGCTCCAAGATGGGACTAATATAAGTTAGTCCTAAATGAATCTTTGTTCAGGTTTCTGAAAACGGTTCTTAGGTTAGCTAGTTTTGTATAACAGGGTTTGCAAAAACCATTGTTTAAAAACATGGGTTTAAAAAATCCTGTTTTAATGCTAATATATGTTAATTTGAATAAGTTACAATAGTCCCCTTTTTTATAACTTTTTAATACGCTAGTAAGCATAAACATTGCATTTATGAAGATTTAGTTATTTCTATTAGATGACAATTCTTATTGTCACTAGATTTAGATTTTGCCACCGAAGTGGCTAGTTTACTGTGCACCCCATATCCATCCTGTGGACGGTAGCGCAAGAGCATATGGATACACAAAAGGCCCAGGAACTAGGCCCCAAAAGGGTTAACATGAGTACATATGGATTTATATCTACATATCTATAGTTCACTTATCTGTTACAAGCAAATTTAAGAAATTTGCTTAGTATATCTGGTATCTTATTTTCATTAATAAAATATCTTGACATGTCACATAGGTTATTATACTGTCTATCTCTGTATTCCTCAATAAGTTGACAATTAAGCACATAGTGTGTGGAAAATTGCATTTATCTGAATGTAACTCATGTACATAACAGTAAATGATAACAAAGATAATTATTATTTATCAAAGTTACATAGACAAGTAGGAATTTGGGACACCTAGGTCACAAAAAATGTCCCCCTTCGATACCTACCACTGTCATATCCACAAGTTGCTCTAGACCTATTAATTACAAATGAAATGTACATACACCAGGAATGCTGGTAAATATATAAATTTGTGGACTGTATATTAAAAATAATAAATGATTATATATATACACATATACATAACAGAAGAATATATCTTAATATCACTCACCAATTAGACTGGAGATTAATGTGTATCATACTCAGAAAACCTCACTGTCTATACATGAAATAACACTGGCCAGAGTTAAACATAACAGACTTATCTGAGGTTCCTGGAGCTGTCTTGTCCAGTCGCCTGATATCTCAAGTTATGCAGGAATGCACATCCAACAATTTCGCCTCCTATTTGAGAGATGTCAACCCAATTTTAACCTTTAGAACACGAAAAATTCTTCCCATTATACACTACCGTTAGTGTCCA